TAAATAAATAAATAAATAAATAAATAAATAAATAAATAAATAAATAAATGCCAACAGCAATCTAAAACTTTTAGAATATTTTTTATTGTCAACAATTGAGGACACTGACCAATATTAAATGTGTGCATCCTGAAGAATAATTCCCTAAAACAAAAACTTTATTTCTTTATTTTATTAGTAGTATCAACAAATGGCACTAAAGATGAATGACATAACTAGAAATAAAAAGTGCACCACCTCTATGTAATCATACCACAAAACTTTGGATATGTTTTATTAAAATTTTATCTATCAAAGYTTTTCCTTTTGAAAAGAAGATTAAAATCAAACTTTCCGCAACAGACAAAATAATTAACCCATAATCAGAGTTCTGCATAACATGGTTTCAGAATGACATTCATGCGTATCTGACATATGTGACACGTTTAACGGCTTCACTCAGGATCATTTCGAGTAGCTGAGCATGACGACGTGGAATCTGTGTGCAAAACACGAGGCAGGAAACACGTCACACAGGAAACACTTCCTGGAACAGTCTGTCTACAGTTCTGTTTGTGTGCATGTGTAAGCGAGATTAAAAAAAAAAGAGGTGAGAAAACAATACTGAATCTGGTCAGAAGAGTAAGGAAATGAAAAATCTAAGACTTTTTGTAAAGATGCAAAACAGAAAGAGAATGCAGCTAGTGTGTGCCGAGCACTCAGATTTGAACTGCAACAGATTTWAAAAAATCAAAATAAATATAACACTTTTGGATTAAAATGATAGAGCTCAAGGAAAYGGCGTGTAGACAGTCGTACATGCTGCAGCTTGAATTGGCCAGACACATCACATCCTGTGTGAACGAACGGTTGTCTCGTGTGAAGACTTTGGAGGGTTTGTTTCTCATTCGTCATTCAGCCTGATGCTACAGGGAAGATTGGCCTCATGGGACTCCACACACACTTTCTATACATCGCATGTCTCCATAGAGGGTTCAGATGGAGTGTGTGTTGTGCATGAGTGTGTATACAGCTCACATCTAATCAGTTCTGTAAGGTTAATCAAAAAGAATCAGCTGCCTGCATTTCCTGCTGCTCTACCGCAGACACAGACACACGAGAACTGCACAGTTGTTGTCGTTCTGAGAAACAACCTCTGTGTTTACATCGGCTGATTTGTTTTTTAATTTATCTAATTACAACAGAARCTAGTTTATGAGAATGCAGATGTCCTACCTRCTGTTAGATGATACTCTTTAATATTTCCAGCAGAAAATCCCATCCTGCAGTGTATAAGTGAATCRAAAYGGCAAAGTAAATCTGGAMMAAAATATCTGCCTTTTTTTCTACAAAACTATMGGTTTTGTTTTTGTAAAAATAGCTTATGTGTAATTGTTATGTTTACTGAAGCTTCACTTAAAAATACTGAGGTAAGGCAAGAAACTAGATTAATCTTATACAGTGCTAAATTGTCAAAGAGTTTAAAAATACTGATAGTAACCATTCCATCATACTTTTCTGTGTGGATTCAGCATGTTACTATGTGTTTCCGTCTGAAGGACAGGACAGGAATTCCTGCTATTTAAACTGGCCCTTCCCTTTCCGTCTGCTCTCAGCAGAGACCGCTTCCAGAGAGAAGAACTAAAGGAATAAAATTATAAAACAGATATGTAATAAAGGGTGAAAATAGAGCAAAGMCAACTCCTTTGGCCCATCTCTCACATCATCAACTGTGCTGTGAATGTAATAGGTAGTTCCATCACAATTTCTAGACTAGGTAAGTAGTGTCTGATGTGATGAACAGAATGGATAAACATTATCATGCAGAGTGAGAAAAAAACTCAGAGGGCCAAGACCAGGGCAAGATAAATTAAAAGTAAACAAGAGTAGACAGAGACAAGTACTCAGGAGAGAAGAGAAAGAAAGAGGAGAAGCATAGATGAAAAATTTAAGACAAAAGGCAGCGATGGGGGCTGGGRTGACAAGGAGGAATTAAACTGCCAGTGGGAAAAAGCAAAGGCTTTGCTCTGCTTCAGGATAAATGTTGGATTTTATTGTGGCTCATAGCACCTATTTATCCCTTCTAATAAAAATCCTTTGCTTCTCTTAACTGAAACCCTGTATGACACKAACTACTGAAAGCTTCAATTATTTGTAATTTTAAATGCAATTTCATCCTAATTTAAGAGAAATTTTGAAATGTTCTGAAGCAAAAGGCCCAGATATAGACATGGAAGATAAAAGAAGGGGAAAATTCCCAAAAAGGAGTTGAGGAAGAGAGGAAGCAAAGAGAAATATAGAGCAGGAGATCAGCGAGGTTGTCTTTTTATTGCCGGTGATGTAATCCCTAAAATTAGCAGCAGCAACCACCGCARACAGTGCTCCAGTGGTACACTGTGCTGCCCAACTTACTGTACGCTGCATGCACTTATGCACACTGCCGGGATGTCTGCAGGAGAACACTTTAAATGGGAAAGGAAATTTTGCAAATAACTATTATACCACTTAAATTGCTCAAGCAAAATAGATGAAAGTCTTTGTATTTTAAAGTGAACAAATATCCAATATAGCTTAATAAAACTATGCATTCAAAAACAAATCATCTACCTGCTTAACATCTATAACTCCATAAAAGTGGTAAACCTGTGAACCTATGCCGTTTGAGTGAGGACAGTGACAACATAAGTGAAGCAGTGCTTAATAGTAACTGAGATGTTTTATTTTTGGTTATAGTTGATGATTTACAGGTCTCTGTTTTTAATTCGTGTCATATTTAAAGAGGGCTTCATGGCCAGAAGAAGAAAAAGAAGGGGGGGGGGGGGGGGGGTTGCTGAAGCTGCAGTTAAATTCCTGAAGAATCATTGATTTGTCATAATGTGCTTCACTCTACCTCAA